TATATTAAATGGCAGCCCTTTGGTTGATCGCTTCCCGCTTCCTAAAAATTCTACCTTTGTATATTCAATAAAAGAAATTAAAATGAAATGAAAAAAGAAGAAATGCCTCTCTTGACTGTAGCGGAGCGCCGGTAACTGGAAATGCCAATATCCTTATTCCTTTTTGTGATTATAAGACCGCGTTCTATTTGCGGAATGTTATCTTTCTATCCAATCGTTCTTAGCCTAAGCCCTGTCCATATCGCTTCACTTTACGTTTCCTTGTTGTGTTTCAAATCTAGTGATATGGATATCGATAGCTTACTTTCCTGTGTGATAGGCAGGAGGTCGGTCAGCTGGCCTATGTGAGTGTACGAATGTAAGTCCAAGTCAACTGAGTCAACAACTATTGGAAAAGATCAGATCGTTCGATTATCTCTCTCTCTCTCCGGTTATTACACACCTAAGTGTGATTAACAGCAGACGAGGTATTATTATTATTATTATTATTATTATTATTATTATTATTATTTTACTTCCTTTTATTGAATATACAATTACACAATTTTCAGGAAGGGCGAAGCGACCAATCAAAGGGCCACCATGGGGAAAGTTAGGTGATGGTGGTGGGGTGCGAACACATGCCCCCCGAGATGGTAGGTAATTTGGTGGCATTATCACTGGGCCACTACCGCCCGGGTAAACCCCATAGTCACGAGGACCTGCTGTTCAGTGGTGGAAACCGGCAACCTGCGTCCCGGGACCTGGATTGGCGAACCACACAATGCCCCGATACGTTAGGTGTGGTATTGAATCAGACCTAACTTGGACAGAATCAGCGTAGTTCTCTGGGTGGTAGTTATACAGAATGGAGCGAGATTTTTTGTGACGGAGTGGGGTTTTTCTCATGTTTTTTTTCCNTTTTCCATCTTCCTAACAGTGTGTTTGATTTACCCGAACGCTGCGCGGAATATCTGTATCACATATCAAGAGTATTAAATTGGGAGTAATCCATTCTCCTGTTCACAGGCATTGTTTGCTGGTTGCTTATAAACCCATACAACTCGTGGATAATCGACGATCCGCCAAGGAATGAAACCCACAGTCAAGACCATCAACAGTGCTTGTGAGCAATCAAATGGATTCATTCTCAATTTACTACTCCCAGTGGCTTAAACCATTTGCACACAGTGATGCCGGTCAGCGGTGTGGCTCAGGGGCTAGAAGTTCCAACCTGAATGTTCGCGGTTCGAGTCCTGACGGGGACACAAACAAATGCATTATTTGCTAGTCCCAAACATGACGAAACAACTGTCCGATACTCTCCGTCAGACATCACAACTATTTCTATCGTTTGTGAATATATCAATACATCATTATTGATCCGGTATGAACAATCAGAAGGCAAAACTAGTTGATGATGATAACATTACCCAGATCGAATTAAAATATATTTTCAGCTTTTTTATTGTGCTTCGAAGTATCCGATTGTGATGTTCATTTGTCCGCTTTTTCGTTTCCCGGCTTCGTTTCTGTCCATGGAATATGAAAGTCATTGGATTCTCGGGGTGATATTCACCAGTCTCCTCGTGGTCTCTTCTGCGATTGCTACATTTGTGGTCACCTATCAGAACGAATACGGACCGGCTCCGATTCCGCTGTAAGTGTTAATTGCCTTTATGTTACTTCGCGGAAAACAATACGCATTCAATCACCTGGCTGGTTACACCATTCTTCACGAGTGTTTTGACGTGACCGCCTTTTCCCTTATAAACGAATGTAGTTTGTGTCACTGTCTTATGTGACCTTATCCAGAAGTGAAACATTCATTATTTATGTTGTGACGTTCGATCTCTTATCGCAAATATGGTAGGTCTCACTAGCTTAGTCAAACTACGGGAATATGCCCAACCAGGTGTGATAATGCTCCAAGAAAGTTGACTCCACAATGAAATTGAGGATGAAATGGTACATCTGGATGGTTTTGCTAGCTATCTTGTCGATCGTTCTGTTCCTTATTCCCGACGGGGTGGTGGCGTCATCACGTTTTTCAAAAATCAGTGGTGTCATCTGATCAAATACGTGTTTTCTTATTCCACACGTTGTTATAAACGCATCAGTAATTCAGTGTAAGCCCAAACATTTCAGCTTTTCTCGGTCACTTATTCCTGTAAATGTATAAATAGCCCTCTCTTGCTCATCTAACGTTCGTAATGATTTTTATGACTCTCTTTCAATGTACGTATATAATTCAGTTTGCATCAATTGTGGTGGCTACAATAATTCCGATGCGCGTTTCTTAACCACCTTGGGTCTTCAAAAAATTACCTTTCCCAAAACTAGGTTTGATGCACATCGGGATTTTGGTTTTATCAACCTTCCGAATTTATTTCTTGTAGAACGCCGCCTCCTGCTGCAAATTCCTGATCATTCTATGTTAAAGTTTTCCCCTACCATCTTTGACAGAACGCACTATCGTTTCCTTACTCGAATTCGTGATCATAAGCTTCAAGTAAGACCGCGTTCTCAAGAAAACCTCACGATTTTAAGGTAACTGATCAGGCACTCCGATTTAACATTGTTTTCTGATCACAACCCTTACGTTTTCTGTGAGCAATGAACAAGTTACTTAAACTTTTGCTACGATGTTTGTTGCCCCTCAGAGACAAGTTCTATCCACTCCGATCGATTTTCTTCCCCATGTAACTCCGTCGCAGAAAGAAGCGTGCCTTCAAAAGGCATACGGGCGCTCTCTTTTTAAATCCATCCGGGTTGAACTTCGAAGGCTAATCTCTTTATACGCCCGTGCTCGGCCTAACAACAAAGGTAGTCATGAGACCTGGCAAGGGCTAATGCGACTTTGTGGCATCAAATCCTCACACCGTGCACCTGCTGCGGTGGACATAAATGGGCTGAGCCAGAGTTTCATCAACAGTGGAATCGCTCGCACTGCTCTAAATAATGGATAATAAATAATAATTAAAATAATGAATAATAAAATAATAAATGACTGATCCCGTCGTCAGCGTTGGAACTGTTTCTCCAGCCCTACAGCAGTTCATAGGCTACAAAGGTCGTACATATTCATTGCTGTTCTTCTCACAACGCGTACTGCAAGACACTATTTTATCCCCTTTTCTATTTTGCGCTTACTATCCTACCCCAACCTATAAGTTCAAAGCACTCTACTAGAAAACATGTCAGAAATAGATGAGTGATGTCAACAAAGGAACCTCTGCATAACCCCCAAAAATATAATGACGTAACTTTTTCTTTTTTGAAAGATCAAAAGTAGGATGAATTAATCAATGCCAGCCCGCTTTTATCTAGCCTCAGTGACCAGATGGAACGACAACCGTCTGTCAAATACCTTGACGTTATTTTCAACCGTAAGCCATCCTGGTCTGACTACGTTAATGACGTTTTTCTAAAGATCAGGAGGCTCACGTTTTATGTTTTACGTTGTAAATCACTTTCCATTCCAAAATCATCTCATAAGGCGTTTTTGCGTGCTTTTGCGTGCGTTTTGCCCCACTGGGGTTGTGGGTCCTCTGTTATCTTCCCTGGTCTTTTGAACAAGGACCTCAAACTCATTTCCCGATCCCTCAAATTTCTCTCAGTTTGTAGTCTCATACCACGGGAATATCTGGTAAAGTGTGCGGTGACACACCACCTCAAGTCCTATAAAACATTCTCCAACAAGATTTTATCTGATATTTTCCATCCTCTTCATTCCGCCCTTAGTCAGTGCCTTTCTGCTTCATTCACCCGTTCCAGTCATAAACTTATAAAGGCACACAAAGAAGCTTACAGGCGCTCCACTGTCCCGTATCTCGCCAGATTTCTAACAAACCATGAACTCGTCGCAGAAAATCTGCTCAAAATGCTAAACTAAACCAATCATACAACCCGGGTATGCCCGTGGTTTTTGATGTTGCTGTCCGTTTTCACGTCTTTGAATTGGTATGTTATAATATTTTTTTCACTTTTTGTTGACTCACTGTGGTTATGTGGTTGCTGAATATTCAGCCTAGATTGTAGATTCTCTTAAGTGAATATCAGGTCCTCCTGTTCAGGATATTAACTTTTCATGTCGTGCTCCAAACTAATATTTGCGTGATTTGAAAATGATTACTGCAACTGATCAATCACACCCCAGTTTGAGCCACAATTATGCATTAGTATCGATGAATTGGTATATCCCGTATATCAAAACTCTTTTTCTGTACAAAATACGTTATATTAGTTTAGAGTGATCATCCTTCAAACTCCACATTCAAACACACAATCTTCAGTTCATTCAGTCAACCATACGTTTGGAAATACTGGACTCTAGTTTCAGTAGTAGTGTACCAGTAGGTTATATCCACCAACTTGGACTAAAATGAACTGACTGACGGATTGGCTATCACTGAAGACGACATCTGAGCAAACTTGACATGGTGATTACCGACAGCCCCGCTGTGTGCGAGTTAGCTGGCTAGAGCAGTAGTAATAAGCGCGCGCGCGCGCACACACACACACGCTTTCCATGCTCAGTGGGTCCGGAGTTCGAATCCCGGAAGGTTGGACGGTGGATGTGCACCACTGGTTGCCAGTCCAGATCAATATCAGTTATCCCACACCACTATTCACAAGTGACTGTGAATTCAATCGAAATATTTGACCACAACAATAGAGTAAGGGCGGGGAAAATGTATTAAATTATTGTATTTTTATATATAAGTATCGAAACAGACAATATGACAAACAAATTACAGAGCTATATATCTTTATAATAAAGAAAAGCAGTTCAGAATTCGCTTATGGGTAGAAATAAAAGCAGACCGGGAAGAATAACCCGCATTATATTCACATCCAACCCAGTCTTCTTTGTACAGACTAAGGATAGATTACCCCCGAATGCGACCTCATTTTGTGTTTATCAATTCACCTGTTTCTGTGGAGCACGTTATGTGGATCGAACGGTCAGGCGTCTATCTGATCACATCAAGGAGTATCATTCCGTTTGGTTGAACCAAGGATTGATAAGGACCGGGGCGACGGCAATTACGAACCATTTGACTGAGTCTAATCACACAGTCAATGTGCTTGAGCATTTTCGTCCTC